CTGACTTGGTAGGAGAACTTTCCAAAGTACGACCAGCTCTTGAAAGTTCCTCCTCTGATGCGAACTCCCCACCCCTTGCACCATAATTCATCCCCCCATCCCACCTACTATCTTCCTGAAGAGTCCAAACTTCCTACCAATTTTCCGGAGTCCTTTTTCCAAAATGCTTCAATTTAAAAGTTGCCGTCGAGTGAAGGAAGAGGCATGGCCGTGAAACGGAGAAAACTGAGAAAAGTTAAAAACCGAAATTTTTTCACGAAGGCAAATAGGGCCAACAACGACCACTTACGAGCCCTCTCACTGAGGGTTCCAAAGGTACGACGAAACCTTGGGGTCCTCAGCGTGGTCCTGGTGGCCCGTGTACTGTAGCACTACTCTTGCTCGACAATCGCAAGGAACTCATCACAACTTTGACAACATTTGAAAAATGAGCTTACTCTCAAGGAACATCTCAGTATCCGCGAGATATGGACCATGGCTTCCAACGGTGTGAACGACCATGAACACAACGGCATGCAATGAATAATAAGTAGCTTTGTCAATATGTAAATCGCGAATTTTGTTGTACATATCTTGGTATGTGTAATCCAGGTTGGATAGTATTTCGTACACCTGTAAGAAACAATAAATCAGTTGAGAAAAATCGATTTTATGCAACCTATTGAAACTGGGGGAGTTGATGTAGCGGCAAACAGCATGTTTACAGCCCAAATCTCACAGATGGAGTGGGCGTGGCTGCGTACATCTTTCAAACCTTGCAGCGACTGGGATTCTACTAGGATTTCTCCATTTGGAGACAATTGTAGTCAGCCTTTGTCTAACGAAAGACAGGATAGCAATCGTTTCAGATGGGAATATTCCACGGAGAACGCATTTTACGCTGTGGTCATATGAAGTACGTGGCCACGCCCTTTCCATCTTAGGGGATATGGAGCTTACTTACCACGCCCTAAGATCAAGTCCCGGGTGAGCTCCCTCCGAAGCCATCCAAGACTTCTATCCTCTAGGGACAGTCAATTGGAACCAGATTCGTCTGGGAGGATAATAACACAGGATCGAGCACAGCTCCCTTCCGAGGTTTTTTGACTCGTAGCATTGCTGGATTACACTCTGATCACACCCGCAAATCACCCCTGCAACCAAGTTCCATGAGGGTGCTAGCGCCAAAGAGTTACGACTTGCTGTTGAAAGGCACAGTCCGCGCAGATTGTGTGGGCGAAGTCGGGCAACCACCCCTTGGTTTCACCATCCTTATTTTACCGCCTTGGAAAAGGAAGACATCACTGGATAAAAGCGAGTGGCTCCCGCATTCGGTCATATCTCCTCTCAGCAGGTCATAGGAGTGTGAAGTCAGCTTCCTTGTCGTTCTTCGTCGTCTTGCAGAAGGCTGGGAAATGCGAGCATTTCAACAGCTTCCGAAACTGATCCCCCAAAATGAGTTGCTTGACAAAAAAAAAACTACCTTGGGATAGACTTTCGGTAGTTCCTCCAGTACCTTTGTTGTGTTTTTGTTAACATCACTCCAGTATTTTTTGATATTGTCGAAGTATATGTCCACGCCTTTCTGAAACCTCCCAAAACATGACCCAAATCACACATCAACTCGTTCTAATAGAACCACTTGATTCATTTTCCAGCAAAACTCACCTCCACATCGGGACCCTGCTTCTTTGCCCATTTGTGAACCTTCTTCAGTTTATCATTCATGGTCGTAAACGGGTTACGAATAATTGCATAGTATTCCCAGCGTGCCATCCAACCGACGTGCCTAAACAAGATGAACCTGGTGGAAGTTACAATTTGCTTTGACCGGAGGAGGGGGTCAGGCCATCATTGACTTTTACTCATTGGTGCCGCTGCTCACGAAGTCGGTGGAAAGGCAGGGCGCTCCAATAAAGAAAGGCTTCATTTCCCGGAAAATTTTGAATCCATTTACTTTTTATTTTTTTCATGATTCTCAGCTCACAAGCAAATATTAAAATGAAACTGCGTAAACAGCGATCTGAGTCAAATATTTTCTTGCCATCCCGAAAACTCGAAGATCATTTAAACTCTGGAGGGGTTAAAGACGGTCCTCCCACCCAGCCAGTTCGTAGGCGTGCTTCCTTGCACAAGTAGTCTCAGTCTCTAGGACTGTAGTCTCTAAGAGTGTCCCTTTTCGCAGTTTTTCAGTGAGTAACGAGGGCGCTTGCGACCCTCAGTTCTAATACCTCCCTAGTCGTCCCGCCCACCAAACTCAAAGGAATCAGAGGAGAGAGGGTATTCCTTTGGTGGCATAAAACGAAGCTGCCAGGTTTACTTCGGGTGTTCGTCGTGAATTTTTATTTTTCCTCATCCTGAAAAATCACTTGCCGAATATTCCAACTGAACTCACTATCCACTATATGCACTCGCGGGATTCGTCTGTAAGCTGCTAACCCCTTCTTGCTGGTGGGCGGTGCTTATGAGTGGGAGCAGTGCGGTTGAAAAGTTGCAGTCGACTGCTCTTATTGAATATCGGCGCTATTCGGCTTGGGAGGGACATTCCACTTTTGCTCACAGATAGAGAATCTGTGTTTACATATAGATAGCGTTCTCAAAGTCGATAGTGAAGAAAAAAAGCAGAAAAATTATGCCAGCTGCCTTAGATAGAACCCCATTCCGATCACAGAATGTGCGTGAACAATTATTTCATCTCCAACACTACGCCCTCATCCGCACAGCTGATTCCTCCATAAGAACTCTACGATCGTACAAGTGACGATTTTCATGCTTTTTCGTCCTGCAGCTTCGTTTTCCACTGAAAGGGGCCTTGAAGGCGGAGTCTGGAGGCGGAGTCACTGGAGAAAAGGAGGCGTCACTGAACCTATATTGCGCTATAGCGCCCCTCCCTTACAATTTTTTGCCGCGAAACATGGTTGTTCGTCGCGGACCACAATGTCTCAACGCCATGTTTTCAACTTCTTTACCTGATCACGCTGTGCCTCTGAGCTGTTCCTGTTGAAGTAAACCTAAATATCTCTTCCACCCTACAAAGTATGTTCCAAATGTGCTGCTGTTGCATGAGCCAGAGAGACGTGAGTGTCTCAAAAAGAAGTCGTTGTGTGTAGAAGGTGGGAATTGTGACTCACTTGAGAAATGGTGGCATTCTGTGTCGGTGAAATGGCCAGAGTGACTCCACAGACGAATTCTGGTCAAGACTAGCTGGCCATAGACATGCTGAAAATAAACTCAAAGGCACTCTTCATACTGACCGCATTGACAGAGCCAGGTGCACAATCGCATCTTCCTCACTGGTACGACCCTCCTTTTAAAAAATGAAGAGGAGGGGCGCGTCAAGAAGGAAATCGTTATTGTAGACCCGACTCGGTCTAAGCGACCAGAGTGGAATGTGCCTCTCGGAACTTCGAGGTTGCGCTGAAGTACTTACGTTTGGTCTTGTCCGATGCGTCATCGCTCAGTACACAAACAGCGATGACGATAATCAA